TAAAAGATCTTGATCAGATTGTAGACAGACTCCAAAGTTGCAAAATAACTTTTTTAAGAGCAATATTTTAAAATACGTAAACCAAAGTTTAGGTCCTATTTTCGAGCAAAAAGGTGGTTTTCTAGTATTTCAGGCATTTTTAGAAGACCTAGTAAACACATGATACTGAATAATATCAAAGTAAAAGCGACGGCATTCGCAGCTTCAAAGGTCTTCTATCAAAATATACTATATTTCTTTTATTTGATTTCATATTTGGTACTTCTAGCCCCCGATTGCCCTCCAAACCTTAAATCAGTCAAGGCCCTGTCTTCGACAAGTATCCGAGTGACATGGGACCCACTGCCAAATACCACTTGCAGGAATGGAATTCTGAGAGGCTACAAAGTCTTATGCAGGAGACCTGGTGCCCGTAGTTCACAAATGGACTTTACTGGTGCTGATGTCAATTCAATGGTGATAAAGGGTCTTCAGAAGTATACAACATACGTGTTCTCAGTAGTCGCATATACTGTCAAAGACAGTGAGCCAAGTAATGCAATAAGCAGCAGGACACTTCAAGATGGTATGTTGGTAAGACATTGCCTCTTATAGGTCACATAACCCTATTTTCATTTAGCTAAGTCAATGCAATAATACCGTATTGTACGATAGACAGTAGCTTACCGAAGGGGGAGGGCTGCCAAATGAGCAATTGCAGGAATGGAATTCTGAAAACTTCGCAGATAAAAAACAAATAATGCATATTAAACCAATGTAAAAGAGGAAGATAAATTATTACAGCTAATCTCATACGAAACTATTAGGACGGACTACCTGTGTGCGCTGGAATCAGTCCTCGTTGGAATCTGAAATATCTGTGGCTCACTATTTTAGATTATCTTGATGTAAAAGAGAAATTTAATTTTGGAAGAGTCTGTAACGTTTTTGTCGATTCTAGGCCCCGATTGTGATCCAAAGCTGAAATCAGTCAAGGCCATGTCTTCKACAAGTATCCGTGTGACATGGGACCCACTGCCAAATACTACTTGCAGGAATGGAGTTCTGAAAGGCTACAAAGTCTTATACAGGAGATATGGCTTCCGTAATACAACAATCGCCAATATTGGTCCTGATGTCCATTCAATGGTGATAAGAGATCTCCATAAGTATACAACTTACATAATCAACGTTGTTGCATATACTATCAAAGACAGTAAACCAAGTAACGCGATAAACAGAAGGACACTTCAAGATGGTAAGTTGTCCCAAACTTCAAAATCTTTTCTGATGGGGAGGGGACAGTAGGAACATTTGACATGATTGTTCAGTAAATAGAAATATCACCTTTAATGAAGCTAAAAGTACTCATGTATCCGATTTTAGCTCCCTCTGTACCCCTTAAC